ATATATATATATATATATACGTGTGTGTGATTACAAATTGTGGTGCTATAAAGGAAGTGAAAAGAGGGGGCAATGCTATGAAGGACAGAGGACCAACTTATTGGGGAGGGCCTCCTTGAGCAGGTGACATGAAAGCCAGACCTTGAAGGGTGAGGCCACAGAGGCTCAGAGGCCGGGACTGGAGCGAGGCTATGCAGCAATTCGTGGCAGAGACGAGACCGGGACCAAGGTATCCGGACTCCCAAGCGCAGTGGGATTTCCACTCACTACCCCCCATACCCCCACTGCTGCCTTCCCACTGGGTTCCAGAAGTTGTTAAGGTTGGTGGGATGGAAGGAGCTGTAAGGGCAGACGTGGTGACATCTACAAAGTTGGGCACCAGAGCTGTGGCTGGCCCTGCACAGGAAGGGGAGGAAATGCTGCAAACGGTCAGGCTGGCTGGAGATGGTGGGGAGGGGAGCAGGTGAGGCAGTGTTCTCGTTGTCGTCCCTGCACCCTGTGCTCTGGCCTGAGAGAGGCTAGATAACCCGACCCCGAGGCACACATTTTCTCTCCCTCTGATGTACTCCGATTAGATCTTTGGCTCTAAGGCTCAGTCCCCAGTGTGGAGAGTATATGAAGTATAGGATCATTATGTACAAGGAATTGGAGGCCTCATCCTCCACTCCTCTCTCACCAAAAGCCAAGAGATGCCTTCAGTTACCCTCAAACTGAATTGCAATCCCGACACCCAATCCTGGGTTTCATTCAGAAACCCCAGACATGGAGTTTCTCTTACGTGGATACATCTTGAGGGCCGGAGCCTATAGCGGGCTCCCTCCCTGTCTCCTTGCCCACGATTCAGCTTCCTCTCGGTGCCTGGCACAGAAAGGGCTCTCAACAAACAAGTATCAGACAGAATTGAATTAAACCCCTGCCATTCTTCCCTCCTGTGTGTGCTGCTGAGCAGGGGAAGGCGGAGAAGACTGACAAGCTACTCTGTAGAAGCCCTTCTGGGACAAGGGATTTTGTATGTCTCTGAGTCTGTGTCTGTACATGCAAAGTGAAGAATTATGGAGCCTCATCAAAAGCCATTGTGAACGCATCTTTCTGCAGGTAAGGCCATGCCAGGCATTATAATGAGAAATTAGAATCTGAAACAGGAAAGGCAGGCTCTGGCATGAGCCTGCAGAGAATACAGAGATGACCGAATATTAAAACCCAAGCCACATACACATGAACAGGATTATAGATCATAATCCAAGATCCAGAACTACATGGAGCCGGGACAGGGCTGGGGGTAAGGAGTGAGGGTGGGTGTTTCGGGACTCATATAGGCTCAGGAAGCCATTCTCCCCTCCCCTGGATTGTTCTGGAAGACTTCCAACATCTGCTCCAAATCTGCTTTAGTTCCCCCTCCTCTCCCGTGAGAATCTTCTGTCCCAGCCAGACTGACGCCTCATTATTCACCCCTTCCAGCACTTAAGACCCTATTATGTTGGGGTCTAACTACTTGTATTTCCCTGAGCCCATCCTATTGTTTCACACCCCCGTGCCTTTGCACATGCTGTGCCTTCTGCCTGGAGTGCCATTCATCCTCTGTTCCCCAAAGACTCAGATCAGGTGTGCTCTCTTCATGGAAGCTTTTCTCGAGCTCTCCCACCCCAGCATGGGCTTAAGCATGTTCTGCTTTGTGCCAACTCTAGGCCTTCTACGTACTTCTATCATTCAATGCGATACCTCATGCTCTATTTTTTTGTTTACAGGTCTATTTCAGAGTCTAGAGTCTTGAAGTCTTTAGTGTCTTCCTTAAGAGTAAGGACTATGATTTAATTTATTCACCTTCGAATATCCAGTGTCAGGTGTGGTGCCAGAAACAAATTAAATACTCCCAAGTGTTCTTTGAAATGTCCAACTGCAAGGCTCCTGCTTGATGGGGCCAAGCCTGTCTCTTCAGCCTCCTCATGCCATTCTGCCTCTTGTCACCACGGACCAGCCACGCTGGTCCAAATGTGCCAAGCTCATTCCCACCTCAGGGCCTATGCTCATGCTCCCTCCATGTGGAGCACTCTTCTCCCAGTTCTTTGAACAAGAGGCAGCTTCTCATCCGTTAGGTGTCAGCTCAAATGCCAACCCCTCCATGCTGGAAATAGCCTGTATCTTCAACTGAGTGGTGGTTACGTGGCTTGTACCAGTGGCTCTCAACAGGGGCGATTTTGCCTCCCAAGAGACATTTGGCAATGTCTGGAGACTTATTTATTTATTTTTGCTGAGTAAGATTGGCCCTGAGCTAACATCTGTGCCCATCCTCCTCTATTTTGTATGCAGGTCACTTGCCACAGCACGGCTTGATGAGTGGTGCGTAGGTCCGCACCTGGGATCTGAACCTGCGAACCCTGGGCTGCTGAAGCGGAGCGCGCGAACTTAACTGCTACACCACCAGGCTGGGCCCTGGAGACATTTTTGATTGTCACATTTGAGGGGAGGGGTGCTACTGGCATCTAGTAGGCAGAGGCCAGGGATGCTGCTAAACATCCTACAACGCACAGGACAGTCCCCACAACAAAGAGTTATCCAGCCCCAAATGTCAGTAGTACAGAAGTTGAGAATCCCTGGCATACGCAAATGTGAAAACTCACCAGATTGTACACTAAAAATGTGTGCACTTCACCATATGTAAGTTACATATCAAATTAAGGAAAAAATGTGACCCCCTCTGAGAGGCCTCCGCTGAGCACCCATCACTGTATTATATTGTTCTTCTTATCTTCCTTCAAAGCACGTTTCACAATATGCTGTTATTTTGTGATTCTTGCCTGCACCCTACTGGAATGTAACCCCATGTAGTCAGGGCGGGACCTGTCTGTCTTTGCACCACTGTATTCCCGGCAGTGTGCACAATGCCTGGCTCAGAGCAGGCGTCCAGTAAGTATTTGTCGAATGGACGAGTGAATGATAGAAACAAAGAACGAATGAATGATAATTGACTATGGCCGCTGAGCACTGGGACTGTCAGAAGACCGGAGCCCTCTTGTTCTCACCAGTGGGTTCGTCCCTGCAGGAGAGCTGGGCAGAAGCCACGCCCACTCAGGAGGGCGGGAAGTGAACATGGAGGTCAGAACAAGCCTGGCGGCTGCCCGTGTTTCACAACATCAGGAAAGGCTGCAGGAGAGCCAAGTCTCGGGAGGTCACACACTCCAGGTCTTTGCCCATGACCTCCTCCCCCGAGCAGCTTGCGGGATGCTGCCAAGGCTAAGGTTTACCCCTGCGACTCTCCCAGGAGGGACCCATTAATAACCTGGGTCAGAGGACTGGCGGTCATGCAGTTCCGGCCTGTGATGAGGTGGTTTTAAAGCTGAACTCACTAAGAGCAGGCCTCTTTCCAGGTTCCCGGGTAGGGGTGGGGCTTCTGGAGTCTGCCCCTTATCTGCTTGCCATCTCTGTCTGTCTGTCCCTGGTGTCTGAATCCTGCCTTTGCAACTGGCCTGGGAGCTTCCCTTAGGATCGAGAGCCTGCCTTCGTCTTTGCATCATGGCTCAAGCTTGATGCCCATTGCTTGGCTGGCATGCAGGAAATCATAGCATTGGTGATGATGACGACGATGACAATGACACAAGCATGAAGGAGCTGAGATGGTGGGAGCTGTTTGAATGTTAGAGAGAAGAGACATCTTGTTGGACCAGTGTGGAGAAGTCAGTACAGCATAGAAAAGTTAGCCCAATGCGGAAGTGGTGCCTAGAATAATCTGGCCCCCACTCAGCCCCATTCACATCAGTCCATCCCCATATCTGCTGCCCCCACCCTGAGCCACCATCCTATTGTGACTCCCTCCAAGCTGCTGTCCTGTACTCGCTGGAACCCTGGTGTGGCTGGAAACAAATCCCCCGACATCCTTCGCCTCCTCACACCCTGCCTGTCCTGACTGAATATGACCCTTCTCTCCATCTCCTTCCTCCCTCCTGCTCTCCCACCTTCTATAGGGGAAAGCTACAGCCTCCTACCTTTGTCACGTGCCATTTCAGGTCAAGATCATGGCTCCTCCTGCCTCATTTTTTTGTGTTTTTGTGTGTGTGTGAGGAAGATCAGCCCTATGCTAACATCTGCCAATCCTCCTCTTTTTTTGCTGAGGAAGACTGGCCCTGGGCTAACATCCGTGCCCATCTTCCTCCACTTTACATGGGACGCTGCCACAGCATGGCTTGCTAAGCGGTGCGTCAGTGCGCGCCCGGGATCCGAACCTGCGAACCCTGGGCCGCTGCAGCAGAGCACGCGCAGTTTACCGCTTGCGCCACTGGGCCGGCCCCCCTCCTGC